TGCTCAGTCTGGTGCTCAGTGTGTGGTCCTCAGTGTGTGAAGCTTAGCGTGTGGTGCTCAGTGTGTGGTACTCAGTATGGTGCTCAGTGTTTGGTGCTCAGTGTATATGGTGCTCAGCATGTAGTCCTCAGTGTGTGGTGCTCAGCATGTTATGCGCAGCGTATGGTGCTCAGTGTGTGGTGCTCAGCGTGGTGCTCAGTGTGATATGTTCATAATGGTGCTCAATGTGGTGCTCAGTTTGTGGTGATCTGTGTGTGGTGCTCTGTGTGTGGGGCTCTGTGTGTGGTGCTCAGCGTGGGTTGCTCAGGGTGTGGTGCTCAGTGTGGTGCTCAGTGTGTTATGCTCTGAATGGTGCTCAGGTTATGCTCAGTTTGTGGTGCTCTGTGTACGGTGCTGAGTGTGTGGTGCTCATCGTGAAATGCTCAGCGTGTGGTGCTCAGTGTGATATGCTCATAATGGTGGTCAGTGTGGTGCTCAGTTTGTGGTGCTCAGTGTGTGGTGCTCAGTGTGATATGCTCATAATGGTGCTCAGTGTGGTGCTCAGTGTGTGGTGCTCAGTGTGGTGTTCGGTTTGTAGTGTTCATTGCTTGATGGTCAGTGTGTGGTGCTCAGTGTGTGGTGCTCAGTCTGGTAATTACCTAAATGTTATTACCTAAGTGTTGTTAGAGGATGAGGAAGGAAGGAAGGAAGTAAATGAGATGTATGTCAAGTTTTGTGAAATATATGATAAAGGCACAAAAATATTTATACCAAAACAGAGATGCAGAACTAGGAAACAGGATTGGTTCAACAGAAAGTGCGAGAGGGCCAGAGACCAAAAGACACAAAAATGGAATCAATACAGGAAGAGGCCGAACCCCCAAACATACCAGCGATACAAAGATGTGAGAAACAACTACACGGCAGTGAGGAGAGAGGCAGAAAGAAATTTTGAAAAAGGGATTGCAGACAAATGTAAAACAGAACCAGGTCTATTCTATAAATTCATAAACAACAAATTGCAGGTAAAGGATAATATTCAGAGGTTGAAAATGGGAAATAGATTCACGAAAAATGAACAGGAAATGTGTGAAACATTAAACGAAAAGTTCCAAAGTGTGTTTATACAAAATGAAATCTTCAGAGAACCAGAAACAATGAGAATTCCAGAGAACAACATAGAGCACATAGAGGTGTCTAGAGACGAAGTGGAAAAAATGCTCAAGGAGCTAAATAAGAACAAGGCAGTTGGTCCAGATGGAGTTTCACCATGGGTTCTGAGAGAATGTGCACCTGAGCTCAGCATTCCTCTTCAACTGATTTTTCCGGAATCCCTGTATACAGTAGTTGTAGCTGATGTGTGGAAAAAAGGCTAACATAGTTCCAATCTACAAAAGTGGAAGCAGGGGAAGACCCCCTTAATTATAGACCAGTATCATTGACAAGTGTAATAGTCAAAATATTGGAAAAAATAATTAAAGCTAAATGGACAGAACACCTGGAGAGAAATGATATAATATCAGACAGACAGTATTGTTTTCGATCTGGAAGATCCTGTGTATCGAATTTACTCAGTTTCTATGATCAAGCAACAGAGATATTACAGGAAAGAGATGGTTGGGTTGACGGCATCTATCTGGACCTAAAAAAGGCTTTCGACAGAGTTCCACTTAAGAGCTTGTTCTGGAAACTGGAAAATATTGGAGGGGTGACAGGTAAGCTTCTAACATGGATGAAAAATTGTCTGACTGATAGAAAAATGAGTGCAGTGATCACCACACTGCCACTCCACACTACCCACCACACCACACCACTCCACACCACACCACACACTGAGCACCACACTCAGTGTGGTGCTCAGTGTGTGGTGCTCAGCGTGTGGTGCTCAGAGTGTGGGATGCTCAGCGTGGGATGTTCAGCTTGAGGTGCTCAGTGGGTGGTGCTCAATGTGTGGTGCTCAGTGTGTGGTGGTCAGTGTGGTGCTCAGTGTGAGGTGCTCAGCGTGTGGTGGTCAGTGTGGTGCTCAGTGTGTGGTGCTCAGCGTGTGGTGCTCAGCGTGTGGTGGTCAGTGTGGTGCTCAGCGTGTGGTGCTCAGTGTGGTGCTCAGTGTGTGGTGCTCAGTGTGTGGTGCTCAGTGTGTGGTGCTCAGTGTGTGGTGCTCAGTGTGTGGTGGTCAGTGTGGTGCTCAGCGTGTGGTGGTCAGTGTGGTGCTCAGTGTGTGGTGCTCAGCGTGTGGTGCTCAGCGTGTGGTGGTCAGTGTGGTACTCAGCGTGTGGTGCTCAGCGTGTGGTGCTCAGTGTGTGGTACTCAGCGTGTGGTGCTCAGTGTGTGGTACTCAGCGTGTGGTGCTCAGCGTGTGGTACTCAGCGTGTGGTACTCAGCGTGTGGTGCTCAGTGTGTGGTGCTCAGCGTGTTGTGCTCAGTGTGTGGTACTCAGTGTGGTGCTCAGTGTGGTGTTCGGTTTGTAGTGTTCATTGCGTGGTCAGTGTGTGGTGCTCAGTGTTTGGTGCTCAGTCTGGTGCTCAGTGTGTGGTCCTCAGTGTGTGAAGCTTAGCGTGTGGTGCTCAGTGTGTGGTACTCAGTATGGTGCTCAGTGTTTGGTGCTCAGTGTATATGGTGCTCAGCATGTAGTCCTCAGTGTGTGGTGCTCAGCATGTTATGCGCAGCGTATGGTGCTCAGTGTGTGGTGCTCAGCGTGGTGCTCAGTGTGATATGTTCATAATGGTGCTCAATGTGGTGCTCAGTTTGTGGTGATCTGTGTGTGGTGCTCTGTGTGTGGTGCTCTGTGTGTGGTGCTCAGCGTGGGTTGCTCAGGGTGTGGTGCTCAGTGTGGTGCTCAGTGTGTTATGCTCTGAATGGTGCTCAGGTTATGCTCAGTTTGTGGTGCTCTGTGTACGGTGCTGAGTGTGTGGTGCTCATCGTGTGATGCTCAGCGTGTGGTGCTCAGTGTGATATGCTCATAATGGTGGTCAGTGTGGTGCTCAGTTTGTGGTGCTCAGTGTGTGGTGCTCAGTGTGATATGCTCATAATGGTGCTCAGTGTGGTGCTCAGTGTGTGGTGCTCAGTGTGGTGTTCGGTTTGTAGTGTTCATTGCTTGATGGTCAGTGTGTGGTGCTCAGTGTGTGGTGCTCAGTCTGGTAATTACCTAAATGTTATTACCTAAGTGTTGTTAGAGGATGAGGAAGGAAGGAAGGAAGTAAATGAGATGTATGTCAAGTTTTGTGAAATATATGATAAAGGCACAAAAATATTTATACCAAAACAGAGATGCAGAACTAGGAAACAGGATTGGTTCAACAGAAAGTGCGAGAGGGCCAGAGACCAAAAGACACAAAAATGGAATCAATACAGGAAGAGGCCGAACCCCCAAACATACCAGCGATACAAAGATGTGAGAAACAACTACACGGCAGTGAGGAGAGAGGCAGAAAGAAATTTTGAAAAAGGGATTGCAGACAAATGTAAAACAGAACCAGGTCTATTCTATAAATTCATAAACAACAAATTGCAGGTAAAGGATAATATTCAGAGGTTGAAAATGGGAAATAGATTCACGAAAAATGAACAGGAAATGTGTGAAACATTAAACGAAAAGTTCCAAAGTGTGTTTATACAAAATGAAATCTTCAGAGAACCAGAAACAATGAGAATTCCAGAGAACAACATAGAGCACATAGAGGTGTCTAGAGACGAAGTGGAAAAAATGCTCAAGGAGCTAAATAAGAACAAGGCAGTTGGTCCAGATGGAGTTTCACCATGGGTTCTGAGAGAATGTGCACCTGAGCTCAGCATTCCTCTTCAACTGATTTTTCCGGAATCCCTGTATACAGGAGTTGTAGCTGATGTGTGGAAAAAAGGCTAACATAGTTCCAATCTACAAAAGTGGAAGCAGGGGAAGACCCCCTTAATTATAGACCAGTATCATTGACAAGTGTAATAGTCAAAATATTGGAAAAAATAATTAAAGCTAAATGGACAGAACACCTGGAGAGAAATGATATAATATCAGACAGACAGTATGGTTTTCGATCTGGAAGATCCTGTGTATCGAATTTACTCAGTTTCTATGATCAAGCAACAGAGATATTACAGGAAAGAGATGGTTGGGTTGACGGCATCTATCTGGACCTAAAAAAGGCTTTCGACAGAGTTCCACTTAAGAGCTTGTTCTGGAAACTGGAAAATATTGGAGGGGTGACAGGTAAGCTTCTAACATGGATGAAAAATTGTCTGACTGATAGAAAAATGAGTGCAGTGATCACCACACTGCCACTCCACACTACCCACCACACCACACCACTCCACACCACACCACACACTGAGCACCACACTCAGTGTGGTGCTCAGTGTGTGGTGCTCAGCGTGTGGTGCTCAGAGTGTGGGATGCTCAGCGTGTGATGTTCAGCTTGAGGTGCTCAGTGGGTGGTGCTCAATGTGTGGTGCTCAGTGTGTGGTGGTCAGTGTGGTGCTCAGTGTGAGGTGCTCAGCGTGTGGTGGTCAGTGTGGTGCTCAGTGTGTGGTGCTCAGCGTGTTGTGCTCAGCGTGTGGTGGTCAGTGTGGTGCTCAGCGTGTGGTGCTCAGTGTGGTGCTCAGTGTGTGGTGCTCAGTGTGTGGTGCTCAGTGTGTGGTGCTCAGTGTGTGGTGGTCAGTGTGGTGCTCAGCGTGTGGTGGTCAGTGTGGTGCTCAGTGTGTGGTGCTCAGCGTGTGGTGCTCAGCGTGTGGTGGTCAGTGTGGTGCTCAGCGTGTGGTGCTCAGTGTGGTGCTCAGTGTGTGGTGCTCAGTGTGTGGTGCTCAGTGTGGTGCTCAGTGTGTGGTGCTCAGTGTGGTGCTCAGTGTGTGGTGCTCAGTGTGTGGTGCTCAGTGTGGTGGTCAGTGTGTGGTGCTTAGCGTGTGGTGCTTAGTGTGGTGCTCAGTGTGTGGTGCTCAGCGTGTGGTGCTCAGTGTGTGGTTCTACACCAAGTTGTATATAAGTGTAAGTGTTGGGGGAACATTACAGATGTTATCTGGTGTAAACATTACAGGTGGCGGCCAAGAACAAATACGTGAAGGACTATGGCCCTGAGACACAGGTGTCGGCCCACACTCGCCCAGGAAGTGAGTCCATCTACTTATTTTTTATTATTTGATTATATTTTAAATTAATATTTTCTTGTAATAAGTAGTCTAACCACATGACCTGGTTGCAAGAGTGACGGTCTTCTTTCTTGCAGGTCAGCGTTCAATCCCCAACTGTTAAAGTGGTTGGGAACTTTCCTCGTCCCATCCCAAATCCTTATCCTCATTTCCCTTCCAAGTGCAACATTACCGGAATGGCTTAGCGCTCTCCCCTGATAATTACCTTACCTTGCAATAAGTTTCTAAATAATAATAATAATAATAATAATAATAATAATAATAATAATAATAATAATAATAATAATAATAAATATATCGCCATACACGTGACCAAACCGTTAAATTTGTTTTCAGGACTAATGTAAACTCTCAGTTATATCCATACATTCACATACATACATACATACATACATACATACATACATACATACATACATACATACATACATACATACATACATACACACACACACATACATACATACATACATACATACATACATACATACATACATACATACATACATACATACATACACACATACATACATACATACATACATACACACATACATACATACATACATACATAGAGAAACTAAAAACACTTCACAAAGAATATATACCCTTTGCTTGTGTTACTTTAGTGTTTAAGTTATTTACAACTCAAAATTTATTACATAACTGAGAGCAGTACTTGTTTGAACAATACGACATATTATTATTACTAGCAGTAAACAGGTACCTGGGAGTTAGACAGCTGTTACATTCTGCTTCCTGGGTGTGTGTGTGTGTGTGTGTGTGTGTGTGTGTGTGTGTGTGTGTGTGTGTGTGTGTGTGTGTGTGTGTGTGTGTGTGTGTGTGTGTGTGTTTGTGTGTGTGTGCGTGTGTATGTGTGTGTACTCACCTATTTGTGTCTGCAGGATCGAGCATTGACTCTTGGATCCAGCCTTTCGAGTATCGGTTGTTTACAGCATTGACTATGGTCCTATTTCCCTATCATACCTAGTTTTCAAATTATGAATAGTATTTGCTTCCACAACCTGTTCAATTAAATTTTGTGTATTAAATTTTCCCACTACTCTCACGCTAAAAGAAAACTTCCTAACATCCTTGTGACTCATCTGAGGTTCCAACTTCCACCCATGTCCCCTCGTTCTGTTACTATTCCGTGTGAACATTTCGTCTATGTTCACTTTTTCAATCTCCATCAGTATTTTATACATTCCAATCATGTCCCCCCTCTCACTTCTTTCTAGTGACGTAAGGCACAGTTCCTTCAGGCGCTCCTCATACCCCCATCCCTCGTAACTCTGGGACGAGTCTGGTTGCAAACCTCTGAACCTTTTCCAGTTTCTTTATATGCTTCTTCAGATGGGGACTCCATGATGAGGCGGCATACTCTAAGACTGGCCTCACGTAGGCAGTGTATAGCACCCTAAATGCCTCCTTACTTAGGTTTCTGAATGTTGTTCTAACTTTTGCCAATGCAGAGTACACTGCTGCCGTTATCCTATTTATATGTGCTTCAGAAGATAGATTAGGTAATACATCCACGCCCAGTTCTCTTTCTCGCGTCATCACAGGTAGGCAGTTCCCCTTCATTGTGTACTGTCCCTTTGGTCTCCTATCACCTAGTCCCATTTCCATAACTTTACATTTGCTCGTGTTGAACTCCAGTAGCCATTTCTCTGACCATCTCTGCAACCTGTTCAGGTCCTCTTGGAAGATCCTGCAATCCTCATCTGTCACAACTCTTCTCATCAACTTTGCGTCATCCGTGAACATCGACATGTAGGACTCTACTCCTGTAAACATGTCGTTAACATATATTAGAAATAGAATTGGTCCCAGCGCCGATCCTTGAGGTACTCCACTTGTTACTGTTCGCCAGTCCGACTAATCGCCCCTTACCGTAATTCTTTGGCTCCTTCCTGTTAGATAGTTCCTTATCCATGCTAGGGCCTGTCCTCCCACCCCCGCCTGCCTCTCGAGTTTGAACAGCAGTCTCATGTGCGGTACTATATCCAAGGCTTTTTGACAGTTCAGAAATATGCAGTCTGCCCAACCATCTCTGTCCTGTCTTATCCTCGTTATTTTATCATAGAATTCCATAAGGTTTGTTAGGCACGCTTTCCCTATCCAGAACCCATGTTGATATTTGTTCACAAACCTAACGTTCTCCAGGTGTGCAACCAGTCGCAGCCTAATTATTCTTTCAAGTATTTTACAGGGGATGTTTGTCAGTGATACAGGTCTCTAGTTAAGTGCCTCCTCCCTATCGCCTTTCTTAAAAATCGGTATGACATTTACCTTATTCCAGCAACTGGGCAATTCTCCGTACATAAGTGAGTCATTAAAGATCATTTGCCAGAGGCACTCTAAAGGCCTGCGCTGCCTCTTTTAGTATCCACGGTGATACTTTGTCTAGTCCAACCGCTTTATTTGCATCCAGTGTTGTGAACTGTTTCATTACCTCCCCTGCTGTACCCTCTATATCTGATAGTCTTTCATATTGGGTAATTTCTTCTAACAATGGGAGCTGCTCAGGCTCGGTACTGAACACTCCATGGAAACTGGCATTCAGTGCCTCACAGATTTCCTTGTCACTTTCAGTATATGCCCCCTCTGTTTTCCTTAGTCTTGTCACTTGGTGGTTCACTGACATTTTCTTCTATATATGGCTGTGTAGTAATTTAGGTTGCTTTCTCGCTTTGATTGCAATATCGTTCTCATAGTCCCTTTCCGATGTTCGTCTTATGTAATCGTTCCTAGCTCTGTTGCATCTTTGTCTTCTGTACTTCATCCACTCCCGCCTGCTGGCCATTTTTGCTTCCTGACACTGTTTAATAAACCATGGGTTATTATATTCCCTCTTATTTTTTCCCTTTACTGTTATTATAAATCACTCTTCTGTCTCCTGGCATTTCCGTATGACTAAGTCCATCACATCTTGGACTGTTTTTCTTCTAATTTCTTCCTACCACTACACTTCTCCCAGATAGTCCCTTATTCTCTTATAGTCCCCTTTCCTGTAGGCAACTCTTCTTTCCCAGATCTCTTGTCCCGTGGTCACAAGTTTGAATTCCATCATGTAGTCAAAGACTAGGACACAATGGTCGCTGGCCCCTAGAGGTATTTCATGCTCCAAATTTTCGATGTCTTCTACGTTCTGGGTGAAAATCAGGTCTAATAGGATCGGTGCATCTCCTCCTCTTTCACTTTTGTCTTCCTGCACATGTTGTGTTAGGAAATTCCTGTCTATAACATCTACTAACTTTGCTCCCCACGTTTTGTCCCTCCATGGGGATTCCTTGATTCCCAATTTATCTCTCCATGATTTAGGTCCCCCATGACCAGCAGCTTTGCTCTCATTCTGTGAGCTAATGTTGCTGCTTTCTGCAGTTCATCTATGCATGCCTTGTTGTTGTCATCATACTCCTGCCTGGGTCTTCTACTGTTTGGTAGGGGATTGTAGATTACCAAGATCACAATCTTCCTCCCATCTGCTGCCAGAGTTCCATGCATGAAGCTTGTGCACTCATTGGTAACCCAATTTCCCAGGTCTTCAAACTTCCATTTCCGTATTAGAGGTGCCACTCCCACTCCCTGTCTCTGTGTCCTCTCTTTTCTTATCACCTGGTAGGCCTCTGGGAAGATTGCATCCGAGACCATGTCATTTATTTTAGTTTCCACTATTGCAACTATGTCAGGATCTGCCTCGCTCACTTTCTTTTATATATTCTGCTATTAAATACCCCATCAGCATTGGTGTACCAAACCTTGAGATTCTTCATGGAAACTCTGGTACCAGAGTTCGCCCTTTCTCTGGGGGTCTGGGGGGTTGTGGGGGATGTCTGGGCGGTGAATGGGGGCTGAATGGATCCGGGGGGGGGGTGTCTGGGGGGAATCCGGGGGGTGTCTGGGGGGATCGGGGGATTTCTGGGGGGGGGGGGGGGAAAGGGGTCAGGAGGGGTGCTTGGGGGGGGGGCGAATAGGGGCTGGGCATCTAGGAAGGTCTGGGGTAGGGCCTGGGTAGGTCGGTCTGGAATAAGAAGGACATACTGGTCTGAAGATTAGGGAGGGTTTGAGAGGCATAAAGGGGTTGAGAGGTAATGTAAGGTTGAGAGTCAGATAGAGGTTGAGAGGTTGGGGGGGGAGAAGGATAGAGGGGGTGGGGGAAGAGGGGCAGATGGAACATGGATAGTGAGAATGGGAGGGAGGTTGTATTAGTGAAGGGTAACTCAGGGGTAGGTGTGGGTATTGGGGCAGAAGGAAGGAAGAGGCAAATGGAGGAAGAGGTGGGGGGTCACCCCCCCATCCCCCACGATGGGGTCCATGTGCCACCCCTCGCAAGGGTGGGGGGTCACATGGAAGGAGAGAGGGATGAGGAGGGGTGAGGGCTCAGCGGGTTTTGGGGTTGAGGGGATGAGGGCTGGGTGTGTTTTGGGGATTGAAGGGATGAGGGCTGGGTGGGTTTTGGGGGTTGAGGGGATGAGGGCTGGGTGGGTTTTGGGAGTTGAGGGGATCCTTGGAATGTGTGATGAAGCAGATGGATTTGAATGCAATGGGGTCAGAGGGGTCAGGGGAGGTGTTGGGGAGACAAGCAGGGGCAGGGAGGGCTGATTTGGGGTGGGAGTGACCTGGGAAGCAGGTGTAAGCTGGTTAGCATGGGGTGGAGCACAGGGTGGGTTAACACTGGGGTAGGTAACTACGCTCAAATGGGAAGAGTTATATCATGGAGGTTTGCTCGCCCTGTGGGCTATCTGTTCCTCTTTTGTCATGTATCTGTCAATATACACGTTGTAGTAGTTTTCACTACCTCTGAGTAAGTGTTTGTGATGCAGTATCTAATCCACTGCCTCTTCGGTAGTGAACTGTACCAGAACAGGTCGTTTCTTGTCACAGTTGTATGGTCCAATGCAGCGGTGGACTTGTACCTCATTCCCTGCCATCTGGGCTCTGATAGCTCTCAAGAT